AACCAAATACATGCTTGACGAAATGAAGGATTTGAATATTCTTCATCTTCTAAATGACGTATGTTCATATTTTCAGGTAAAGTGGCGCAATGTTTAAAAAAAGCTGCATGAAGTTTAAGTTTTATGTTATGTTTACGTCACGTTGTCTTCTGTGAGTTTATTGGCTGGTTGTAAAGCAGAAATCTGATTACTATCTGATTCATGTAGACCCAGAGTTTCTGATTACTCAAGTGCATGTAAACGTGTTGATCAGATGACTGACAAAATCTGATTTTCTGCATTTATTGGGTTATTAAGCGCATGTAAACACACTCAGTGTCATTGAACAAAAAGGCAGAGTTCAGCTGAGGGATCTTCTCCAAAACAGGCAGGAATGGTGTTTTATGGCTGCTGTGAAAAGGGGTTAAAGAACCTGAGAGCAGGGATGGCCAATAAACTGAAAAAAAAAGAACAATCTGATCTGATCCTGTGACTAATCTATCCTGAAACATCACTCTCTCACACTGTGTTGGGATGTTGTTAGCTGTGTTCTTCCTGTGAAGTCGTAGAGTGATTGAGCAGTGAAGAGCACGGCAGCTCATCTTATAGTGAAGTGCTTGAATTAAAAAAGACCATTTTGAGGATTAAATATTGAACTGGTGTTGGCTGATATTTGAGGTAGGTATCAGAAAAGAAATGCAGTATGTTTAAAGGAAAAGTTCTTTAGTAAACCAAAATTGGTTCTTCTATGGCATCACTACAAATAACATCTATGTTTTGTTTATTATTTTTTTATTTTGTTGTTTATTTATTTATTTATTTTTTTTTGAGGGGGGGGTATGGTTGGGTGCTTCCTCCGCAAGCCAATGGGGAAGTTAAGGTGAGTGTAGTCTCAGCCTCAGATGCTTCTCCTCCCATACTTGAATGCAGCATCTGATATCTGTTGTATGTTAAACTGATTACAACTATCAGGATTTTGTCAGTTGCACTCTGGTCGGTGTGGAAAAAAAGCATCACACATGGTTGATTATTTTAAATGTCAGTCAAAAGATCATTTCCTGTCAAAGTAGGAAGTTCTTGGCTACATTACACTGCAAATGCACCAGAGTCTCTGACCTTAGGATTTCTAATAAAGT